TCCCCAAATTCCCACTCCTTCCATGGACTGGTATACATTCCAACCTCCTGATGGATAAAGGAATAAAATATATAAATTTATAGAATGAAATTAATGTATATTAGATTAGGGGTTAAATATACATTTAGGGTAACCTTAGAAATTTTATTCTACAAGCATAATCAATTTATTAAAACTTGTAGAAAAGAAATTACCACACTATGTCAAGAGTGTGGCACTTTCTACTAGTAATATTCTATTTAAGGAGACACATGATGTAATTGGCTATAAACATGCATCATGATGTCATGGGACATAGAATATACATTATTTGAAATACCTTGAATTATTCCCATTACATCAGGGGAATAATTCTACCATGGTACACTAAAAGAGAGATTCTAGAATATTCTATGGAGGGCCTCAAGGGGACCTCTAGAATATTTAAGGAGGCCTTCTCCTGCCTAGGATTGGTTCCTCAGCATATTCACCCCCAACAAACTAAGTGAGTACAGTGAATATTCTCCACCTACTTTTAGAGTAGTCTTTTTTATCATCCAATCCAACCCTACCTTCTTACTGGAATTATTATTAAGCTGAGAGTTATCCCAGACTCAACACTTAAGTAATTCCTTAAAAAGTAGTTGCTGCAAGACCACCACCTCTGACTGTAGCCTTTCAGCTCAGGTGCTTGCCAGCTACTTCTTGCAATATTAATTATTGCTTCCAAACACTCTACAATAACTTTTTTGTTATTGTATCCTACAGTGCTCTCTTGATTATTCAAGTGTCTTTAACTGAGGAGTGTGGACTTTATAACCTCTTAAGTGGGAAGTTTGGACCACTTAATACTTTGAGGGTGACTAGGAGTAATCTTGGTCTTTAACCTGAGTCCTTCAGCACAGTGATAGTACTTGGCTTTTATATTATTAAGCCAAAGTTTCATACACATAGCTGACATTACATGTAATTATTTGGCTCAAAGTTTGCCTTTTTTTCAGGCAAGGGGTAGTTGAGAAGAGGTGATGGGCACTGCAGACTATATAGTGTAGATGGAATGTTTTGCATATGGGATCCCTCCTCCTATGCATGGTGTTCAGATTTTGATTTCAGTTTGAAGAGAATCAAAGGAGGTACATCCAAAAACCAAGAAATCTTGTGTTTGGTAGGCAGGGAATTTAAAAGAAAATTGTTTCTTAGGAAGCTTTGGAAGAATAAAGTAAATTCATGATTCCAAAGCTTCCCCTCTCTTCCCTCTCTTTTCCAAGGCCTCCCCCCTCCCCTTTTCTCAAACAGATGCAGCTTCCCCCACACTGCAAAGGGAGTTGTGTTGGTTACAACCCCCTGCACCAAGGTTTACTGGAGGCAACCAATATAAAATTGGTCTTCCAAACCAATCTTATATCAGTTGAGCCCAAAAATGAATTGTAACAAAGTATAATGCATCAATGGGCCTGGCAAATATGAAATTGCTCTGGCAGACCAATCTTCTATCAGTTGCCTCCAGGTGATACTACCACAGGGGGTGGTAAAAAACACAACCCCCTTTAGCAGTACCATCCACAAAATCCACCCAAGCCCCATCCAACAATTCATCCACCTGGGATCCAACCATCATTCTTTTTCCTCCTATTAATTATCTACCCAATCATCACACATCATACTCCTTCATTTTTGAAGTTTTAATTTGTTTCTTGGAGCATCAATATTAGAACTTCCTGGAAAATAAAATCAAATATTTTGTTTTGAAAAAATCTTGTGCTGATGTATGCCCCACGTGTGTACTCCAAAACTATGATTTTCCAGTTTTGTTTTTTGACGCATGTGTGTGATCTGACCCAAAGCCCAACCCACACTTGAATCCTACAATCAATGATATTTTATCTCCAAACAAAGCAATAAAAGATGCCCCTTCATTATTGGAAGAAAATAGATCAATTTGCCTGAGGCTTTTCTACAAAATGACTCAGGAGTAAAAATTAGGCTAAAATGAGCTATTTTAGCCAAAAAATAAAAAATGCCTCAAATGAGCTAAAAGTTAATTTTGGAATGTTTGAAGCATTTTTATTTTTGGGCTGAAATAGCTCATTTTGGCCTAATTTTTACTCCCAAGTCATTTTGTAAAAAAGCCTCAGGGAAATTGATCTATTTTCCACCACCCAAATTGCCATTTTTTCCTGGGGCTAAACCAGTATTGCTTGTAGTGTAATTTAGCCTACATGCATGGATCACATAATGTATACAAGTGAAAAGAAATATTTTCAGATGTAACTTGTAAGTGAATCTTTATGTAAATATGGGGGTTGTACTGTATTGAGGGCGTCTGTGTGTTGAGTTTTTCAGCTCTCTGGTCTACTCTTCCCCAAAATCACTCCTTTCTTCACCTTTCTTTCTCTCTCTTTTCTTTCATGAATCATCCTGAATTGGACTGAAATGTGGTCTTCCACTGCTGGTTTTTTGTTGAATCTCATGCAATTTTTGGAGTCTAATTAGAACTATCAATAGCAATTTTCCCAACAACTCCTGTCTTTATGATTGATTCCTTTCATTTTCTATTTCACTATCTGATTCCTAAAAACTAATTATTTGGAATTAACGCCTTCAAATATTTGTGCTAGAATGTCTGATTTTTCTTGATTAACTTTTCTTGTCTGACTAAAAGAGACTGAGAAGTCCGGCTAAGATTGTTTCTTCCAGAGACTTTTGGAGGAAGATGGATCAAGAAAGACCATGCTAGATATTAGATAAAGTTAGGTTTTTGAGATGATTATGGTTTGTTTGATCAATGAATTCACAGTAGTGCAATGTACATCAGTCATGGGGGACAATTTACAACACTGTAGAGGGGTCAGGAAGGAGTACATCAAACAGAACAATGTCTTTTGAGATATGGGAGAGACAAAAAAGGGTTTTCCTGTGTACCAAGTGGTCTTGGTTTGGCTTTGGTAGGCTGCACATGCAATTGCACGTACTACTCATTGAGTGTTTTTTCTTTTTTCTTTTTTTCTTTCTCATCTCAAGCTGATGCTTTTCATCCATTTTCTCTATTTTTTGTCTTTATCTTGACCCATTTTCCCCTTTTTATTCATTTTATTTTCATTTTGCTTCATTTTTTCATACTTTTTTTTTTATTACTGTGTGGTGTTTTCATGCTACTGTGTGTTATATATTTTCTGGCTCTTGTTGTGGGTTTGATTGATTTTTTTTTGACTGGAACTTCAAGTTGTAGTCTCATGAGAGGGTTTGACTGGCCTTGTAGTTTGAACACCATGGCTCGCAGACCTCACTGCCACCTGCCGTACAACCAGGTCGATTGCACACTCCCGGCCATCCTGTAGATTCACTGCCACCATCGGAGTTGACATGTGGCTTAACATTGCTGGCCAGTCCGGTGACGTGCGCTTGAGAAGACTCGAGGCCGGTCATGACATTGTGGTCAGGGGGCGCAGCCAGCATACTGCCAATGAGAGTGGTAATGGCGAGCACGATGATGCACTTCATAGTTAGAGCTTTATTTAGATGGACCAGCGTGAGGTTCGAACTGATAACGTTGGAGCTGCTAACGATGGGTGGGCGATGTTACAGGGTCTTCTTATCCGTCAGGTTATGGCGGTAGAATTCAATGCTACACAAATGTGCTCAAGTAGTGTCCAATTTGATGCTGAAAGAGCTAAAAATCTCGGAGCAAACCTCAATCCATCTCCGCGAGTTGCTTCCCATCAACTGACCTCTACCTCCCTCGCACCTGACAGTTTTCAGAATGGATGAGGGCAATGGAGTGTTAGAGTTAGAGCCAGATTTTTAACATCACTCCTGTTGAATTCCACCACTTATTAAGACCTGTCTTTTCAGACAAGTCTAATTGATTAAAGGCCATCCAGCCAGTTATACTAGTGATTATGCCGATGACAATGCATCTGCTTCGAAAAGCCACAATCTTGAAGACGCCTCAGTTGCATGTGCAGCGTAAGAGGGCGTTGCTGAGCTCTTTTCTATCGAATTCAATAAATTCTTCAAGAAATATCTTGCGGGCCCATCAGCATTGTGGAGGGCATGCAAGTTGAAAAAGCTAGTGTTGAAAGCTTTGTCGAAGCATGCCTCCATGTCCTTCAAGGCGATTAAGTAGATCAACCAGGCTTACCGCGGTATGAGGTCGGGTTGGAAAGAGCTTCTTTTCTTCAGTTTGAGCTGGCGGGCAATGGAGCTCCCCGCCCCCATTCAGATTGGCATGCTTGTTCCCGTTGCTTCATGTAAATGATGGTTTTATGAGCAGTGGAGCTAATGACCCTCAATCCCATGTCTGGACAGCTAGGTTGTTGGATCCTCGTTCATTTAGTTTCACACAAATCCAGAAAACAAACTGAGCATAGAAAAAAAGGGGAGCCCTTTGGGAAGCCATTTCTAGGCAAAAAGATGACTGGATATTACAAGGGGTTGACTGACGATACCAAAAGACATTGAAACAACAAGTAGATTAAACAGTTTGTCTAAGCGTTACACAGCAAAGAGAAAAAGATGATGAGAGAGAAGGCGAGTAGCAAAGCAAGAGTAGACCTAAATTTGAACAAGAATCGGATTCATTATATCCCGCAACCTTCCAACCTCATATCATGATTGGGAGAGAAAGAGATTGAGAGCTCAAATGTGCACAAAAATGTACGTGCATATTGGTGGTTCTACGTGTCATTGTGTTTGAGTAATAACGAATATTCTTGACAAATCGGCCGGAATTCTGGGTTCTCATCTACTCATAACATGTAATAATAGGGTTTTTTCACACAAGGAAAGTTGTGTCATTAGTATGTTATATTTCTTCATGTGAATGAAGCAGAAATATGAAATGATAGAATAAAAAGAAAATGCTCACCGAGAACTTCGATGACTTGGTACAAGAGTTTAATTCGTTCCATTCTTGAAAGTTTAAAGGTTGGGGTGGCCGATAGATGATTGCTATTCCGATTACTTCTGTAGAGAAAAGACAGAGTAGAAGAAGATTTGTTTTGCTCAGGTCAACAAGTCGAACAACACAAAGAGAATAGGAACGGGGCGCGAACATCCAACCAGAGCCTGTCCATAATTCATGACAGAGTTCATCGACGACTTGAAATCGATTATGGTCTCTCAAGAACCTAACATGATCGACAATACAACCCAAAAGATCTGGTTTGTTTGCTGCCAGGACCAAGGCCGAGTCAACCAGGAACGGAGAACCGGAGGAGAACTTGAGCTGTCCATGATCCAACCGATCCTTGTCTTTCATCTCATCCATCGTGTGACCCGATAAGACCGTCCAACTCTTTAGATCTTCATCGAATACGAACAGACTTTCTTTCCTTACTTTCACGATCGGCGCCCCTTGGTGGGTCAGAGCTGTGAATGAAATCAACGCTCTTGAGTCACACAGATGCTTCAATTTACTAGGTCCGCTAATGGCCTTGAAATTGGTAAGATCCCTGTGTTCACAGACAATCGGAGTGAGCCCAAATCAAGAGCGAAATGCAAGAAATGGCAACTGACCAAACCATCACTGTTCCTTTTAACGAGATAGACATCAACAAGTTTCCCCTGAATTGTATCTTGAAGCAAGGACAATCCAATACGATCACAGGCATAACTCTAAACCGGCCGGTTTTAATCATCAAACAAAGTCTCCAATCAGATCATGTGTCCATTTTCTTCCTCTTTATTCATGGCAAATAAACACAGCAGAAAAACTGCAAGAAAATACCGAAGTTGCTTACCTGCGACCGGCATAACTATATACTGACAACGATTTATCACTCAGTCCAATAGCAACATGTGATGTACTCAGAGCAGCAGCAGTTATTGATTTATCTGAGAATCGTTCTTTCCAGAGTTCTTCTTTTTTGTCGGTTTTATTTGATGATAGGACAACTTCTGAGCATTCAACTGATTGAAATCAACAGCAAAAGCACAGGATTGAAAGAGCTGATTAGAATTCGAAACTGAATCACTGTCGGATTAAATGAACCATCGGGCTTACCATCCATATCTCCTCGAGTGTTTTCACAATTGACCTGAAATTCGGTTTGATTGCAATGGACCCTCTTGAGAATTCGCGTAGGCATGGCTATCGGTTCTCCCCATTTGCCGACATCATTCCAATGCATGATTTCAGCTAGCTCGCGTGATACTGAGTTGGAGGAAATCAGGTCATCGCTGAGATACGTTGGAACTGCGTGACGCGTTGGAAGAAGTGTTGAGGTGCTAGGGGTTGCTTGTGGAAAGCGCTTAGACTGAGGGAATAGGGTGTGTGAATTTTGAGACGACGTGGGTTGCTGCACTGCGGTTGATGCATGACCATTCGGCATGGCGCTGAGGAAAATGGCAGATTCATTGGTGCCCAAGAACGCCGGTTTTATTCTCCGCTTCCCATTCGGCATGATGGTCATCTCTTGTTGGGTGATGAGGGTATTGGATGGCATAGAATTTGGGACCAAGGCCGAAGGGGGAGGTGAGGAGCGACCGGGCCTGAAAGGCCCGATAGGCGGCATGGGTGATGCATATCTTGGGGCGAACGGGGTGGAGGAAGAACGAGATTTCTGGCTACGTCGATCAGGTTTCGTGAATTCATAGGTTTCGAGATATTTTGCCTTTGCCCCCGGAGGTGCCACCGCGGCAAGTGTGGTTAATTCGTTAATCACAAAAGCGGCGACTCGACCTTCAGAGGAGCAGGCATATAAGGTAATCCCATCAGCAGCCCAACTGAGATCGAGAATGTCTCGATCAAAAACATCGTGTAAGACGACGATTGGACAGCTACTGCAGTTGTGCCAGATTGAGACCGAATTGCGGGCTCCGAGGGCAAAGACTGTGGATAGATTGGGTCCTTCGATGGGTTTGGATCGATCTCTCAAGAATAATAAGGGGTTGTAGGCAGCAACTTCAACTACGTTCTCGTGACCAACCAATGAGATGTTACTAGTCCACTTGCATCGATCGATCACAGCACTGACAAAGACGGGTCCATTCATCGCGTTGGGGGTGACAATGTGAGTACCATCTGGTGACCAGCTCAATCGCCTAAAGAATGAATGGGGAGAGTTGACGAATGGCTCCTCGATATCAGCTTCCAACTTCCAATCGGTCGTCCTCCAGATCTTGACAGTTCGATCGTCAGATTGGGTAGCAAGGTATTGACCAACGGGATCCCAGACAACCCCATTGACGTGTCCCTGGTGAAGGTCCAATCTTTTGAGTAGAACGAACGCGGAGTCGAGACAATCCCAGATGAGTACCAGGCTATCTAATCCGACCGACGCAAGATATTGGTCATCTTCAGACCAGGCCAAGCCCTGAACGTCTGATGTATGGCCGGCTAATCGCTTGAAACATTTCCAATCTTCAATATTTGCCGTCTTTGATCCAAACGACTTGGACTGGCCGGGACATCTAAAGAAAGCCGCAAAAAGGTAAATAAAATCAAATTAGTTCTTAGTAAAAAAAAGAAAAATAGATGGAATGATTCAAGATGAGATATGAATGGAAAGCATTCGGGGCTTAGGGAACACTATGAGTGCAGAGATGTGGGAGGACTTGTAGGGATTCAATCAGAAACTCATGAAGGGAATGGAAGGAATGAGCTACCGAAGCCACACCATGATAATCGAATCATCACTACCAGTGGCGAGAAACGCACCACTAAAAGACCATCTGACACATAGGACGGCACCTGGAGGGGAAAACAATCGATCAATGCTCAACTGGGGTAAATAGTTGGATGAGAGACGAATTAAGAACGGAAGCTGATAACTTACCATCATGCCCTTCCATAGCGCATAGTAGACGGGGTGCTTTTTCTTCCTCGGTTTCCTCTAAGGCCTGGTCGAGTATGGGGGCTGTTGACCATATCTTGACGACGTTCTGAATACTACCAGTTCAAAATCTGGTCCCGTCTGGATGAACATGGGCCGAGTAGATCGTCTGTGGGTTTCCCTTGTCATCTGGATGGATGACCCAATTGGGTTTGATGATCCGCATTGCTTTCTTTTCTGATTTGTTGTTGTTTTTCTTTGTCTTTTTCTCTTTTCTTTTTGCAAGTTACAAGTTGGTTGGTTTTGACAGTGAATTTTCTGTCAGCAGGGGGCACAGCTTCCATTTTGGGAGCCTTTATATATACATCCACTGACCATTCATGACACCCTCTGTGACATCCCCTGACCTGTTTGGTACATAGGAAAAGTGAGTGACCTTGGTCAGTTGAAGCCCATTCATTAACTGCACGCTGTCCTTCAGAAACAGATCATGAAGCTCAATCCTTCCATGAGAACAATTAACCTTGATCTTGGCTCCTCCTTCAGGGGTTCCATTCAGGTAAAAATGATGATTGGGCCATGTTTCCAATGTGAGGCTCATGTCTGCCAGACAGGTTTGGACTAACTTAACTATGTAAGTCCCCCTATTGGAGGGGGGCAGGGACCCTCCCCTTCCTCCGGTCGGCGCAATGCGACCAGTGGTGAACCACTCCGACAAAGGAGGGCCGGGACTTAATTAGATGCCTCTGTTGCTTGATTTTAACCAAGTGGGGATCATGTGGCACACTGGCCATCCAGGCAGATTGTCATCATCATCATCATTGTTCCTTTGCACTTAGAACCTTATCATGAGGTTGTTCACGGTTAACAATGATTCTAAATGAATGAACGTATCCAATTGTTTTCCCGCAAAAAGAAAGTGAAAGGAAATGGCGGGGCAGACTTCAGAAACTCGACTTCTTGAGTGAGGAAAGATGAGCGTGGTATGCCATGAGAGCCACTTTCCCCGTTCCGACAAAAAAAAGAGAGAAATAGCAAGACAAATTAACAATCAAGAGGTATCTACAAATCAAACCAAATAACAAGATAAAGGGAAAAGGAATCCATCCAATCAGCTTTCCGTTCTTTGCAAAAATTTCAATCTCATATCAAGACCTATTTTCCATATAACTGGAAAAAAGAAGCGAGAAAAGGGGAATGAAGATGGAATGAGGAAAGGGTAGAACAAAGTAATGAGTTGAAGTCAAAAGAGTAAATAAACCCGAAAAAGAAGATGATCAATTTCAAACGAGTCTCTGAACAAGAAATTCAAAAGACAGTTCAAGACTGATCATCATCAATGGTTTTGTTTTTCTCTTCTTCTTTCGTCCATTCTTCGTTCGCCTTCCTCTTCCGTCCCCATTTCTTCTCCGTTAAGTCTTCTTCGGAAGTATCAGAGTAGTCATCATTTTGGTGGATCCTTGGGTTGATAGAAGTATGAAGATAAGGTGGTCTCCTAATACACATAGCGATTTGAAAGTAGTAGTATGGGACGAAGGGGAGGGTCAGAAAGGTCTAACTTAGGGCGAGTAGTACTCTGGCCGGTTTACTCCATGAGAAAAGTCGGGTGAATTGCTCGAAACAAATCGGGAGCAGCCACTCAGGTCAAGAGAGGACGAGTGAGTGAATCCCACAAGCGCAATGGAAGGAGAACGAGGTGGTCAACAGTGGTTAATTATTATCAAGTGGAGAGATGATCCTTAAGTGCCGCAGCTGCAAGACCATGAATCAGTTCAGCATTAGATTTACACAAGTCGAGACATCGATCAAAGGTATCGTTTCCAATGGGAGCAGATTTCCAATCAGTAGTCGACCGGAAACCGACATGGGTCACGGTGCCCATGGCAGGGATGGAAGCAAGATCGAAGATCGCCGACGCCGACTCAGCTTCTGTTGCGGTCGGATCCAGGTAGAGCTCTTTAGAGAGGGCGAGCGTGCTGGGGATCACGAGGCCAACAGTCGGGATCCCAGCTGAGGCTAGAGCGATGCTCGAAGCTAGGACACATGGACCTGGACTAAGAGGGCTGTCCCATTCGAGTACGGTGATGTGGACCTCGACGATGGACGAGTCGCTCATCGGTAGGAGTGAAGGCATCAGTGCTTGCTGGGTCAATTGAGATACCGTTGTTTCGACACCCCCCAAAGCAGTAGGTGCCATGCGACCGCCGGCCATACAGAATGGCGCGAATCTCAAACTGATCACAAGAGGCGACAGAGATGAAGAGTTCGACAAGGATGATCGAGGCTTGGGACCATACCTATTGTGATTTTACAAGGTGTGTCAGTACGCAGCGAACCGATAGTAAGGATTAGATAGATTGATCCGTG